CATTCACCTTTATAAAATCACAAAAACAATTACAATAAAAAATTAACTTGCATTTGAGTAAATAATTAATACAAAAATTTGTCTTGTCGCCTGGCGACGCGGGATCGACTCCTCTTTAGCGCAAATGTTTTTGTGTGTACTTTTATGTTATATTTTAAAGTTTCTAGCTCTAGTTTTATGCGTTATGTCTATGATTGTTGTCAATGCGTTATGTCCATTATTTTTGTCAATAAAAAGTTAAATTGTTTATAAAATTTTATTTATTATAAAAATTGGGAAGTGTACACACATAGTCTGACTTAAACATGTAAAACAAGAAGGAAGTGTACATACATTTTTTTTTTTTTTTTTTTTTTTTTAATGTTTATTTAGGTGCTCCAAGAAGTCCTTACGGTCTTATCACAGAACACCGCGGAAGAGCATTTAATAGGAAGTTCACGCCTCCTTCCCAACCGATGTCGCAAAACTTGCCCAGAGGTGAGGTTTGAACCACGGATCTTACGATACTGAGGCAAGTGCGCTACCACTGCGCCACGGCTGCTACATCGAATGACTAAATAGGTACAACATGCAGGATGTGTCATACATCTACTTAGGGTTTTGATTTAAACAAGCAATAAGTTGAAAAAAAATTTTGTTTTAAAAAGTGTTTAAAAACCAAGGCAAACACTTATTTTAGTATATTCCGGTCATCAATTTACACAAAACTTCAAACATCGGAAATAGATTTTTGATTCTATCATCTACCTCTAAAATTAATTAAATCATATTTGAGATTAGCATGTCTCAAGAGCGTCTTTTGCATTGTAGGGGCGGGTTTTGTCACTCGCCAAGGAGGGGGTTAAAAAAGTCTAAAATCAAAAACCCGCAAATTTTCATTTATAAGTAATTTTCTTCTTTAATTTTTTGTACTTTAGTGTAATAATCAAGTTCATATACGTATAATTACATTTGATTATTAATTTTATTCGTAATTTCGGAATTTGTAAATTGGAAGCCAAGAAAAAACTCACATTTAAGTTAGTAAAGTAAATTTTCACCTGTTTTTCTAACATTTCGCCCCCTCAGTATTATCTTGTTCTATCTACAAATATAGATAAATAAATAAAATGTTCTATCTAGTATATAAAATAAATACAAAAAAAAATTATAGATAAATAAATACAATGTTCTATGTATTATAATATATTATATTTTAATACATTATATTAGGTTAAACATTGTATATATATATATATATATATATATATATATATATATATATATATATATATATATATATATATATATATATATATATATATATATATATATATATATATATATATATATATATATATATTTATTATTATTATTTTGGTGCCCCAAGAAGACCTAACGGTCTTGTCACAGAGCACTGCGGAAGTGCATTTAACCAGGAAGTTCACGCCTCCTTCCTTACCGTGACGCAAAAATATGTCCAGAGCTCGTTTCGAACCTGGATCTCTTGCTTATAAAGCAAGCGCTCTAACCACTGCGCCACGGCCGCACACACACACACATACACACACACACACACACACACACACACACACACACATATATATATAACATTTTATATATTACATTTGTAGATAGAACAAGATAATACTGAGGAGACGATTTATCTGACAAATTTTGTTTCTTGTTTTATGTTGGGAAGACAGGGGCAATTTTTATTACTTACTAACTTAATTAACTAATTAAGAATAAAAATTAGTTTTGCATGTATATGTTTGAGTATTCTTTTGTGGTATTAAATATATTACTTGTTAAAACAAAAAGAATAAAGGATAGTTTTTATTTTTTCATAACGTTGACAAATTATCATCTTCCCTCAATACTGGGGTAAGATGACAATTTTTGTCATCAAAAAGGACTTTGGCTTCGGGGCAAGATTATAAGATTAAAAAAAGTTAAATAAATTTTATCATTTGAAAATCTTACATGGTTTAACAAATGATAACTATTTTTTTACATCTTACAAAGTATTTTATCTGGTGTAATTTATTGTAAAGTAAATTTGAAGTGTTTAGTTGTAGAATCAACAGTACCCACTGGGTACTGTTGATTCTACAACTAAACTGGGTACTACCCAGTGGGCACGTGTTGTACGGGGGACATCTGCCAAACCTCTCATGGATGTCCAGACGTCCATAAGACGTCTGAAGAACGTCCCTTGGACTACGCTTGCTTACTGGGTAGTCACAGGTAAAAACACCATTTTCATAATTGGAACAATATCTCATGCTAATACTCTTGGCATTTACAACATTTCTTTCGTTGGAGAGTCACAATATTCCTCTTTACAAACACGACATCTTATAAAATCATATTTTAAAGTTGATGCAACTGGACTGTTTGGCCTAAATTTAGACTTAGCTCTAGACTACATGAACTTAGTTTAAATTTTTTATTTTCTTTCTAGCTTAACTAACTTTAAAACGTTCTGTTCTTTATTTGGAGGAAGCATTTATTTATATATTTTTGTTTGTTTTTTTATTATAAATATATGTACTGGCAGATAAAAGTCAGTACATAAATTTTGTAATTTGCCGAATTTTTTAATTAAGTCAGCACAAAAGCTCCAACATTACAATTGTAGTTAGTTCAATAAATTTCATTACACGGGGCAAGATGGCAAACTCGTCTTCTTGTCCGCTTTATCTTGCTTCAGACTGCCTGTTTAAAATTAATTTTTAGATGTTTTTGTTGACGAGAACATCTCATGGAAACAACGTATTAATAGCATTTGCTCTAAAGTGTCTAAAAGAATTGGAATCTTATAAAAGGCCAGAATATATTTAAATAAAAAATGTTTTACACAACTTTAATACTCATTTCTTTATAGTTATATGAATTATCCAATTACTGCCTGGGGTAGTACAGGTGAATATAAGTTAAAACGTCTTTACCACTATTAGAAACACGTAATACGTTTAATTAATTTTGCCGATCGACTCACATGTTAGAATATTTTTTATGGAAAGGAGAATACTCAATGTATACGAATTAAATGTATTTAATGTTTTCTGTTTCATTTATATGTGGAAAAATAATTTATGCCCTTTAGTTTTTAAAGATTTATAAGTTTTGAAACTCATAAACAAATACACCTTTAGAAATAATAGTTTTGTAAAGGAACAGTTTCTTAAAACAATATATTATCAATTTTGTATTTCATATCGTGCACCATATTTCTGAAATAGGCTTGTTTTACCTAATTTTGATTTGTCGATTACTTTTCCAGTCTTCAAAAATTTAAAAATTTCATTCTCTCATTTGAAAATATTTTTGAGCACTGTTGATCACGCAGCAATATATAATAAAAAATATATGATTCAATGTGTATAAGTCTTTGTTTTTTCAGGACTGCACTACATGTTATTTTGGGGAAAAGATTCTGCAAAATGTTTATTTTTTTTTTAATTTCTTATTTATAGTTTTTTTTTTTTAATTGCACTATTTTCTTTTTTTTTTTAGCCACCGTTTCCAGCATAAAATTTCTTAGACTTAGTCAATTTGACCTAAAAGTTATCCTAGTTGATCCGATAAATTAGATCTACATCTTGATTTAAAAATGAATTTTTTTTTTACTTTTTTTTTTGTGTGTATTTGTGTGTATTTAAATATACTCCTTTCTTGATATAGGCTTTGACTAAAAAAAACGACTTAAAAAAATTTATTGATTTCGTTTCAAATACTTAATTTCAAATCATTATGTAGAAGGGATGAGTAAGCTTGGTTCAAAATGAGTAAGTTAGGTATAAAAGTTATCAAGGAAACAGTTATTGGGGTATTTTATTTTATATATTTTTTTATATCTGAAATCTTAAATGCAATAATAAACAGTGTTTTAGAGCCGTACACAAGAAAGACAATTCTAATGGTGTAGAACAGTCTTGATACAAACCGAGCAATATTTATATCAAGTAGTTTTTTTAAATTTAGTACATCCATCGCATGGAATATCCAGAAATTTTTGCAATATTCATAATAAATATTAAATGAAATGGTTTTCAAGATCTTTACTATGCAGTTTAAGGTCCCCCTCATATGTTGTTTTGAATTTACTTACTTTGAATTACTTGAAAAAAGAAAACAATTCTGTTGCTTTTAAAAACTTGTAAAATAATACTATTTAAATAAAAATATTGTTTAACGAACTGAAGAGAATATGGAATGTATTTTACAAAATAATGGTACTTACATAGAATAACACCTTGTAACTTAGCAACTTGATTTAACTACTTTATTTCTTAAAAGTTGAAAATGTTTTATAAGTTTAAAAAGTTTAAAAACTAATAGCGTCGAAAGAATACAAATTTTTATCCCTTACAAATCTATTATCAAATTTCTATTTTTCTCAAACCTATGTAATGATTTGCACTTTTTGTCAAAAAATTATATAAGGAGTAACTTTTTTTACCATATTAAAACGGTTGTCAAAACTTTAAACGTGAACCTACAATGCAATCTTGAATGGTTTCCACTCTGTCCTAACCCTTTCATTTTTTTAACAAAATTAATCTTTATTGTAAAAATAAGTATAGAAAGTATTCTAAAATAAAAAATGAGGTATTAGAAATTTAATTTTCACAACCCAAAATTTCGAATCTTATATATATATATATATATATATATATATATATATATATATATATATATATATATATATATATATATATATATATATATATATATATATATATATAAATATATAAATATATATATATATATATATATATACATATATATATATATATATATATATATATATATATATATATATATATATATATATATATATATATATATATATATATATATATATATATATATATATATAAATATATATACATATATAAATATATGTAAATTTTACCATTGCTTGACTTGCTTTTATAAACATCTTTAAACTTTTACATATTAAAGTAGAAAACTCATCATAAGAAAGTAAAGTAGAAAATCTATAAAATATATTTTTAAACTCCGAAAATCTTTTTTTTTTAATAAAAATAATCAAAGTACACTCTAAAAATTTTCCCACTTTTTATTTTAACACCACGCATATTTATATATGTATTATAAATTTGAAGTCAAATGTAACATAAAAAAATAATTTAACAAAAAATACATAAAAAAATAATAAAGTCGAAATAAAATATGTAACAAAATAAGTGTTTGTTAAAATTTGGTTCTTATCAAACTTTCCAAAGCTTCAACTACATACAAACATATTCCTTTATACTTGTAAAATGATCAACTTCAAGCATTTTTTTTTTTTACAAGCTTATTATGATCTGTAATATTCATTAAGACATAATAAAAAATATTTCTAAATTGTTGTTTTTCCTGTTAGATTTGTAAGCACAGAAACATCTTTAAAAATTATTTTCTTTGGGGGTCTTTTATTTAAAATTTTTTTATAATAAAACTGTTTCCAAGACTGAATAGTTTTACCTGACCATATCCAAAATCCGCTAGTAATACCAACCATCAGTAACATCAAGTATTTTATCATAAACACAGCAAAATCAGGGCGATCTTCTCCAACAAAATGATAACAAGACTGTCCGCCACAACTCTCAGACATAAGAAGCCATGCACTTATCCATGATTTATCCCATACAAGTCTGTAAGATTGTTCATAAAACAGACAAGCAATAACAATAATGGCTGGTAAAGAATATAACAAAGAAAATATTCCAATCCTAACCATTAGCTTTGTTAACTTATCAGTGCGAAGTGAGTGGTCTGTTTTTAATACTTTTCGTATGCGAATTAGAGCAACAAAACCAGCTAAAAGAAATACTGATCCAGCAACTAAATAAAAAAATAAAGGTGCTAAAAGGAATCCTCTAAGAGCTGATAAATTTTTACCACCAACAAAACATATGCCAGATAGCAAATCGCCGTCAACTTGGTTCATAGCTAAAATTGCTATTGTTTTGGCAGCAGGAATAGCCCATGCAGCAGCATGAAAGTATTGTGCACTTGCTTCAATAGCTTCATGTCCCCACTTTAGCCCAGCAGCTAGAAACCATGTCAATGTCAAAATTACCCACCAAATAGATGCGGACATTAAAAAAAAGTAAATAAACATAAAATCTACAGTACAAGCTGCATTTTCAGTACCTTGGTTTAATAACTCAACCCCTTTATCGGTTTTGTGACAAGCTATAGCATTATCAGATAGAGAACCACATAAAAATGCAATGGAAATCATAAAGTAGCAACCTGATAAAAATATAATAGGTCTTTCAGGATAACGAAACCTTGACATATTAACAAAAAATGTCACAAGAGTGAATGCTGTTGAAATTAGACAAACAACAGACCAAAATAAAACCCAATTTCTAGCAAAGTCTTTTTCTTTCCCTGTAAAATAAACAGGGTCACATTCTGATGCACAACCAGGTTTACCCATGAAATTGTAATGCTTGGCATCTTTTTGTTGATCAGTTTTACATCGATAATCATTATAACTTGATTGGGTTTTATTTTTAACTCTTACTTTTTCTTCAGGTTTTTTGGTCTCAGCATTGTCAATACAAAGAGCATTTGGAGTTGAATCTGGATATCTTTCACATCGTATATTTTCAGGCCAAATAAAACCAAATTTTTGCATTATGCTAATGCATCCACTTCGTGCTCGCTCACAAAGTGGTTTACATGGAGGTAATGGTCCATGGTTGAGACATACAGGTGCATATACACTACAAAGAAAGAATTCTAAGTCATCAGAACAGCCAACTTTAACTAATGGTTTAAATTGGGCAACTTCAAGGCTAGCTTCTTCAGGGTTTCGATGCTCTAACAAATTGGGGAACATTGTTGTGTTATATGGCATTTTGTTACAAATTTGAAAATGATGGGCAAATGGAATACATTTAGCATTAGCAGCACTTTCTGAATAGTCAAAGCAGCTAATCACCAAAGACAAAGCCATTAAATTTATTGTTATAGTAATCATAATAGATATATAATTAATATAAATACTTTTCTATTTCCTGAAAATGAAAGCAATATTATATTACTGAAATAATTTTCAACTGCAATCATATATATATATACATATATATATATATATATATATATATATATATATATATATATATATATATATATATATATATATATATATATATATATATATATATATATATATATATATATAGATAAATATATATATATATATATATATATATACATATATTACATATATTACATATATAAATATACATATACGTACTATTGTATATACAATAGTACATATATATAATATATATATATATATATATATATATATATATATATATATATATGTATATATATATATATATATATATATATGTATATAATATATGTATGATACATATATTATATATATACACATATATTTATAGATAGGTATATATATATATATATATATATATATATATATATATATATATATATATATATATATATATATATATATATATATATATATATATATATATATATATATACATATATATACATATACATTTATAAATATAGATAGGTAGATAGATATAAATATGAATCACTTGATTTAATTTTATTTTAAATTAGCAATTAGACAGTTTACGGCAAAATGACACACGGTCAATCCAGATAATAAAACTCTTTTCGGAATCATGCACCTCAGTTATTTGAATAAACAAAGTCAAATAAGTTATTATTGAGATAAAAATGAATAACTTCTCAGTAATACAACAACGGTTTCTTGAGATAAAAATGGGAGAATTATATTCTTAACTAGTCCAATTATATTTAAGGGTTTTCGGGAATAATAATCATTTAAAACGGATTAACTTGTCGTAATAAAAAACCTAGATTTAGTTTCATTTTAGTTTTTTTTAACCTTAAAATATAAAGGAAAATCATTCAAATTATTAGTAAAATAAAAAATATAATAAAATGTTTATTTTTAACAAAAACAATAAAATTACAAGTTCCCAAAAAAATGGTTTAAAGATTGAATGGAAAATTTGTTTTTTTGTTTTTTTGTTGTTCAATTATCTGCTTCCGATTTTAAAACGTTTCTCGTGACATTCTTTCCTTCTTTACTTATCTAATGAAATTAAGATAAATTATAAAAGTTATTAATTATTAAAATAAGCACTTGCTTGTTGAAGAAATTGATTTAAAGATTATTATATTCAGATTGGACATTCTAATAAACACTTTTTTGTTTATTAGATTTTAGAAATGCGCAAGCATAAACGAATTTTTAAATAGACTTTTTTCACTGATTCAAATTATTATCGGCCATATTTTATAAATTATTTGAAAATTAGAAAAAAAATTTAATTTTTTTTGTTGGAGAAGGAAAACTTAGCCATTCTAAAAACTAACAACATTATTTTTAACAATATATTTTAAAAACCCACTACTTTAAGGCGACAAATCAATAAGAGTATCATTAAAAAATACTCAGACCTTTTAAACTCAATGTTGATTAGAATTTTATACTGCAACTCCACGAAGTTACAATGCATAAGATCTGTATCTTATTTGCACCACTTCTATCTTGTCACCTCCTTCTAATTTTATAGATGTCTAAAATTAGTATAACTAAACAAAAGTTGTATGATAAATATTTTTTTAAATTATAAAAAATAGCTTCAGAAAATATATAAGTATATTCAAAAAACGAAAAGATACTCAAAAAGTATTTATTATGCTAAGTTGTTATTAAAAAAAACGGAAACACTAAAAAAATATGAAATATAGTTAAGGAAGTAATTGAAAAAAAATAATAATAAAAATGAAAAATTAAATGTAGGAGAAACTATTTATTAAGTAAACTTTTGGGTAATGGAAAACCAGTATATGTTGAATCAAATATAACTGAAAAACTAAACAGGTACTTTGTTATTGTAAGCTGATTGAGGCTGCAACTATTAACTATTCAATTAATTCAACTCAGTTCAAGTTATTTTAAAATTTATGATAAACGGCGAGATAAACGGCGATAAGATTCTCGCCTTAACAGTTCCTAAACTAATAGCGACCATCTACCAAAAAATATTGGGTGCCAGCATGTTTTAGTCTCTTGTTTCCACCTTCTAATAAATTAGCAACAACCATCCAAATCTTTTTTGGAGGCAGGATGATTTGGCAACCAAATCATTTTGTCTCCAAAAAATTCCGCTATTAACTGCGGAAGCTATATGTGGCCGCCGCAATAGATGTTGTCAGCGGCAAGATGAACTATATGTGTCCCTGTAGAACTAAACCCTGGAGGACTCCCTAGTTACTTTGATTTATTTTGAGTGCGTACCGCTAATACTGATACTTAGCTACTGATCTCCAGTTGTGGAGTTTTTCTTCTATATGTCAGCTTTTATTTTTAGAAGTAAAAGTAATGCGGAACTGTGTCAAAAGCCTACGATATATTAAGATATATATTATATATACATAAATTTTATTTTCCGAGGCTAAACGTCAAAACATTAATTATTAACATTAAGCTTGTTAGACACGAATGAAAATTGATAAATCCATGTTCATAGTTACAAAACAAAAAATGATTGTTAAGTTGTAATAATAAAACATTTTAACATAGTAAGAATAAAAAACATTGTAACAATAAAAAGTTTTACATTGTAACAATAAAAATTTTTATAATTTTTTCAAATATTTTGATAACAACCCAGATAAAGTTATTGTTTTCGGCCATTGACTAAACTCCTTTTTTGTTAAGTAGGGATATCTTCCCAGAGTTGTCGTAAGACTTAATTGTTATATGATTTCGTAGGTGAAGATAGGAACAGAGATGATACGACTTAATTATTAAAGAACTCTTGAATGACTGCTATCCGGTACTGAAAATTGATACATTTTGATGTTACTCAAATGGTTGGAGATAATGGTAGGAGGTAAATCAATGTTAGAAGATTTTAGGTTCACTTTTATTTAAAGAAAATATCAGATTGGATTTTGATCTTCAATAGTAAGAACCGAGACAAAGAATTTGTTGAACATACTGGTTTTCAAATGATCGCCAGAGTCGTTGTTGAAACTAATATTTTGTAAAACTTTATTTTTGCTTTTGGTTTTTACATTACGAAAAAAAAATCTTCAATGATTGCATATATAAAAATTAATGCATATATTAAAAAAATCTTTGATGATTGCATGTAATATCAACTAGTATTAGTAAAAATAATGTAGTTTTTCTTATATATACTATATATAAAATCAGCTGTTTGGTTTAATACGATATCCAATAAGTCAACTACGACTCATGAAGTTTATTTCATGATAAATAAGTCAACCAAATAAATACTATCATTCCAAAACAATCAAAAAAAAGTCGTGGAAAAAAAAGTTCTTCATTGTTTAACAATAATTTCAAATGAGCTAGAAAAAAAACAAGCATTTCAAAAATTTCTAACAACAAAAACCAGAAGCTCTTTTCTTAACATATTAATATATTCATTATCAAAATTGAATAATTATGACTTGACATGGCCGACAACATGGGTTTTGAAGTTGAGGGGCACAATCAACAATTTTAAAAAAAGTCCTCTATATCTAGAATTTTGTTTTTAAAAAAGGACCTTCAGAAAAAAAAGTGGTGTGTGTGTGGGTGGGTGGGTGGGGGGTGGTGTGGTAAGGGAGCACTGTCGTTCCTCCCCCCCTCCCTTCCCCTCAATATTGTCAGCCCTGTTTTGAGCTATAATTATCTATTTTATATCATAATTTTATTTGCATTCTTAAAAGTTAGCTTTTGTTTAACAGATTTAGTATCGAGTATAGAAATTTGCGGTTTTGCTTTTTATAATTGTCTATCTTCTTCTTTATTGTGCATCTTTGTTATCTGGTTCTTAAAACAAAATTTTTTGATAAATATTTGCTGGCACCTCATTAATGTATTATAAGTAGTAAAATAACACTGGATTTAAAAATGTTTTATTTTAAGAATATTTTTAGGTCTGTAGCAAACAGACTTTGGAAAAATTAAACGGGTACCTAATACTATTTAAAAAAGTTTTAAAATTTAAAATTTCGACTTTTATAGGGCAAATTTTTAGTGTTTGTATCAATTTATAAGAAACCTAGGAAATTTGTCCAATTTGCCCCATTTTGAAACAGCCTGATTTTAAGAAGCTTATTTAAAAAAAAAATTGGTAACAATCTTAGACTATATTTTCAACTATTTAGTTTTAAATAGTATAGTTTGTTAAAATTAGTCAGGGTTCAGCTTCGCTCTGAATATTTTTTAAAATATTTACCTACTGTCCTTTTTGACCTTTTTTTTTACATCAAAGCAAATTTTTATTATAAAATTGCTGCTACAAATTAGAATTTGTAAAAGAAAATTTTTAAACAGATTTCAATTTTCAAGATATTTTTAGTGTATTAAGAATGGAAATGGCAGTATTTAATTCTTTTTTAATTGTTTCTATCTATGTCAAACTGAAGGGTTGAAAAGTAAGAAACATTTAAATTCAGTGGCGTAGTGAGGTAGGGTGGAAATCACTTTTCAGGGCCGACGACACGGGTTTCGAAGTGGGGGGGGGCACAATTGTAAATTTTTAAAAAATGGCTTGTATATCTAGAACTTTCTCAAAAAAAAAGAGGTCCTTTAGAAAAAAAGTGTGAGAAGGGGACGTGCCCCGACCCCCCGGTGTCGTTGGCCCTGCTTTTTATGGGATAGTAGATTAATGAAAACTGTTTCAATTTAAGTCAAATAATTGTTTTGATTTCTCCATCAAAGGATCGCTTTAGAATTTTCTTTTTTTCTTTGATATGCTTTATATTCTTGAGATCTAAATACTTTACCATTTATATTCTTGAGATTTAAATACTGCATTTACCAAAGCATGGCTGCATTTACCAAAGCATGGCTGCATTTACCAAAGCATGGCTGCATTTACCAAAGCATGGCTGCATTTACCAAAGCATGGCTGCATTTACCAAAGCATGGCTGCATTTACCAAAGCATGGCTGCATTTACCAAAGCATGGCTGCATTTACCAAAGCATGGCTGCATTTACCAAAGCATGGCTGCATTTACCAAAGCATGGCTGCATTTACCAAAGCATGGCTGCATTTACCAAAGCATGGCTGCTTTTAAATTTTCTTGCAAGATCTTTATGCGACTGATATTTGCGTTTATGGAGAGAACGATTGATTTTCCTTTATACTTATCTTTAAATCCTTTCTTTCTTCTACTTTCTTTTTACCGTAACAATCAAACAACATCGCACTAGTTTCTTAATGCAAAAAAAAATTTTTAAATAAATTTGCACACAAAAAAAAAAAAATAATTATATAGTTTTTAAGTAATTTAAAATATGATTTCTGCATATAAAATAAACAAAGTTAATTAATGATATAAAAAAGGGGTTCTAGTTAAAAACAAATTTTTTGATAAATGGAAGCACTTAAATTTAAGTGGGCACTTTAATTTTTTTTTTTATATAGTTTTGGTCAATTTTAAATTACTTTATTGTAATTTAGATTTATAATCAGAGTGAAATTTAAACACTTTAGTTTTTAGTTTTAAAATATCCTAGTTAAGTTATAAAAGCTTTTTTCTTAGAAATACATAAACTTTTTTGGAACTTTTTATATATGTATATATAATTATAAACAAATAATATTTTTTTGTAAATTGTATAAACTTGATGGACAAAACAATTATTATTATTTTTTTCATTAGTATATTTATTTTTTTTAATATCAAAACTTAATAAAAACATCTGCGAGGTGAACCTTTTTGTGAAGTCTTTTTATCGAAAAAATTTGACTGATTTTAGAGAACTTATCGAAAAAGTTTGAGTTATCGAGTTTAGTGTTTACATACTTCAGAAACGCCTTCCGACTTTAGTGAAATTATTTGCGACTTTCAATTGTATTATGAACAAAAGATTTTACGCACGGTTTTAGGAATTTCAATTGCGTTGCATTTCTATCTCTTTTATACTTCCATGATTTAATTTAATCTTTGAATTGCGGTTGCATAGTAGAAACTCAGTTTTTAATCGGCATTTAGAAACTAGTTCGGTTTTTTTTATTAACCAGTTCTTCGGCATTCTTATAGAGTAAAATAATAAGTTTTTCATACAAACCACATGTTGAGACAAAAATCAAAAAGGCCATGTTCTAAAAAAAAACATTTTTTTATATGTGTATAGGCATGGCCTTACTAAAATGGATATAATTTTTTTATAACAGGATTTTACAGTTACAAATTAAAGAGGGGTCTTTTTCAGATATTCAATACAGCTAAAAGTTCAATAAAAAATATGTTCAACTTTATTTCTTCACAAACTTAAAACTAATTTTATTCGTCGCGCTTTTTTTTAGGACATATTTTTTTTAGTATATATTATTTTTTTTAGTATATATAACAGCTTATTATTTTCTTGCAATAATTACAAAATATGAATATAAATTCCTTTTCTATTCTATTGTTTAAAATGATGTGTAAAAAATCTTTACTACTATTATCAGATATATAAACTAATACTTTTTCGAAAATAAGCTAACATATTTATGAGTATTTTCAATAAATGTACAGCACGTTTACTTTGAGGTAAAATTAATTTTGATCGCTACTTCTTGCAACTTTGAGCTCTGTCAAGCTGAATACATTTTGTAAAACATTTACTTAAAAATGCCGAAAGATTTGTTGATGAATTTTGATGAAACGAGTATAATAAAAAAATGTTATTTTTAAATTTGAGTATTGACTGCATGTAATAGCTCTTCCGCATCCTCCATCGTATGGAAATTACTAACGTTTGGGTTACTTTTGGTTTTTATATCATTACTTATTTTCATTCGCGTTACATTGCTTACATTTTTTTTTTGCTTTATAATGAAATATACAAATGTATCAGGAATAATCAGTTCACAATACATGAAGAGTTTTCCGCACTATCTTATCAAAATATATCTGAGTTGGATGACTACACAAAACCAGAGAAAGCCGAGGAGATAAAAAAAAATTGATAAACTTTTTAAATAGTTTTAAAAAACGTTGGATTGAATACAGATAAATCGCTGTGAAATTTGAGCAAAAGTATTGTGAATAGGAGAAATTGATTTTTGAAAAGTGACTAAAGATATTCTTTCTACTTATAAAGTTTTGTTACACCTTTAAACATTCCTATTGGAAGACCAATTGCAGAATCCTATTGGAAGACCAGTTGCAGACATTGATGAGTGCTCTTTAAGAACAAAATATTTTATATATATTTATTTACTTTTATTTTATTGGCCGTATAATATTATTTACACTAAGATTTATAATATTATACGGGCAGGACTTCAAGAAGATCGTAATGACCTTATGACGAAACCCTTAACAAAACTCTATTTTCTTCTACAATAAAAACATCTATATACTATATAAAATAAATATATACCGAGAATATATAATCACTAAATATATCATAAATTTGATACCCTACATACTTCAGAAGTGAAACTCAAAATAAAACATAACAAATCAATATGCAGTATAGCAACTGAAAATATTATTTTTTTAAAATCAAGAATATTTTTTGTTGAAAAATAGTTTTTTTAATAGATTGTTTGAAAAAGGAATAGGTCAATTTAGATGAAAAAACAAAATTAGGCCGCACTATTTTATTCCAGAGAAAAGGTCCACGATAAGATATGCAAAATTGAGCTTGTTTATTATTGCAAAAAGGATTTTCTAAAATGCTTTTATTACGTAGGTTTTATTTGTTTTGGGGTTTAATTTTGTAAAGGTTTACAAATACATCGGGGGACATAAGTTCTTTACGTTTGTATATAAAACACAAAACATTAAATACATTTAGTTGATAAATATTTAAGGGGTCCATTTCTTTAAAAAGCAGTTCGAAAAACGATTTTTATGCGAGCTGCGTGTTTCTGGTGCCGATAAAGAGATTTAAGTTTAGTTTTATGAGTACTTATAATATTTGCATAATTGATATGACAGTGAATAAAAGAGTAACATAATTGTGTTAATTACTTTTTGATTAAAATGCCTCTAGATTTGTATAGAATTTCAATGTTTTTTGCAACTTTATTAGAAATATTATTGATGTGTGATTTCTCTTTTTAGGATGACATTGGCTATAAAAAGATCATGCATATTTACAGGCAGTATCTGTTTTTTATAGTTTGGATGGAAAAGTACCATTTTGTTTTTTCAATATTTAAAGCCTATTTTTTTTAAAACCAAAATGAAATTTTTTTAAGTTCTCTGTTCATATTATTAACAAGTATGTTTACATTTTCATGTGACTGAAACAAGTTTGCGTCGTCTGCAAAAAGTATAGTCTTTAAGTTAGATACTTTGTTAAGATCATTTATATATCTATAATGAAAAGAAGTGGTTCAAGTATGGATCCTTGTGGGACACCATATGTTATGTTCATTAATGTTTGAGGTTGTTAAAAACAAATTGCTTTCGGTTGAAGAGATTTTTTTGAACCAACATAGAGTTTTACCTGCTATGCCATAACATTCAAGTTTTTTAAGCAAAATATTATGATCAACCGTATCAAAAGCTCTTGACAGGTCAATGAAAAACACCAAGTGTAAATTTTTGGTTTTTAAAAGATTCTTTAATACAACATGTTAATTGAAGAATAGCATGTTCGGTTGAGTTGTTTTATTTTTAAAACCAAACTGATTTTCATAAAGGAGTTTATTGGTATTTAGGTATGTGTATACACATACCTAAATACCAATAATGTATAACAGAGTGTATACACTCTGTTATACATTATTCTTTCTAATATTTTTGAAAAAACTGGAAGAACAGAAATAGGTCTGTAATTTGTTATATTGGTTGGGTCTCCTGTCTTAAAAATAGGAGTTACCTTTGCTATTTTCAGAGAGTCTGGATAAGAATCTTGTTTAATGGATGATTTAAAGATTTTGTGACGAATATCTTTCATGACGTCATAAGAGTCTATCACAATATTTCCATTTACACCGTTAGGTCCTACTTATTTACTTCTTTTTAACGATCTAAAAGCTATATTAAATTCCTCAAGCGTTAGGTTTGTAAAATGTAAGGAGTTTAACGTTTGAAGTTCATCTGTTAATTTATAATTTATTAAAGGGATTTTGTTTGATAAATTTGCTCCTCTAGTGGAAAAAATTTGTTAAATTCAGTCCCAATTTCATTAGTATCATTAGTTATTTTATTTCTAACTTTTATTGCAAGTGGAAGATAGGTTGAAATTACTTTTTGCTTTCCTGTAATTTTTATGTAAAATAAAAAAAATAGTAGAGATAGTACAGCAAAGGAAAGACGAAGGTGAAATTGCTCATAACATTTTAGAAACAAATAGTAAACCAACAACAATGTCTCCGACTGAGGCTTTGACACTACTTTTAAATTGTTACTTATCAAAGATTTATTATCAATACATTTGAAATGCTTTAGAAAAACAAATTTGTATATACCCAGCATATAATAACGTCAGAGCTGCAAAAAAACTATGCTATTCTAGTAACTTATTCGTTAGTGATTATTCAGCTAATATTCCATTACAAGATTAGTAGAATTGCAGAAAAAATTATTTTGTTTCGTGAGTTTTATAAACAATGCTGTATTTCAAATTTGGCTTTGATGGCTCAACTAATTAAAGCATTTATAAACAAAAATTATCAGATAGCAGTTTTCTTAATTTATCAAATAGAAACTCTTTATTTTTGACTTGGAGCGTAGATTTCGTAAAACAATTTGAACTTTATGAGGTGACCAGACTGAGAGTGCATCAAATATTTTTAAAAGGACTTTTTCTGGCGCATACTTTGATAAAACAATAAATAAAAAAAAACAATACATTAAACTTAAATCAAGAATTGATATATTTACTTTTTAAAATAAAAATCAAGTTAAAATGCTAAATATAAACACCTAATATTTCTCAATTCTTCCGTCAAAATGTTTTTTTGTGGAATTATACATTATATAAGAATTTCCAAAGATGTCTATGGTGTGGAAAAATTAAATGCAAACCACATGGTGGCATGAAGTCGTTAATCAACCCTTCAACTAAAACTGTTCCCTGAAATAATAAAGAATGTTTTAGAATATTTTTTTTAGTTTTTGGTACTTCCAAATTGCCTAAGTTAAAAAAAATGAAAAAAATCAAACAATTTTTTACCCGTTGTCTATAATTAGAAGCAATAAATTAGATTGTGCTGAATCTTTGTCAGGCTTAGGCCCAAGTTCAACTCTTGCATGTTCTCCATGTTTTTGCATATCAGTAATCGTTTGATTAAAACCAATCTTTCTATTATGAAGGTCCGGCCTCAAAAACTTGCAATTATTGCAACCATATATTTGATTACTGGAGCATTTACCAAATACTTTCTGAATAAAACTAAGTTCTGGAACTAAAAATAAGATCACATTAAAACGTTCATTTTTAAATTAACACACACTAATAATTCATTTTTAACTAGATCAAATCTATGAATAGTTTTTTTCACATGTAACTTGATATTCTCATGACTTTCATTCCCAAAGAGAAGTTTTATTCAAAATTGAAAAAAAAGTTTGTTAATTTTGTTTACATTTACACTTTGATTACATGTGTTAAGTTTGTTAACACATGTAATCAAAGTTTTTTTATTTATGTTAAACTTTTTATAAAGAGTTTTATTTTTTCAGAATCAATAAATCTCTTATTTACCTGTTGTTTTTCAATTATTTTTTTTTTCTTCAATATTACAAGAATATTCATAACACTCACAGCTGAAACTAATACCATTGTGAATTTCTTGAATTAAAGTTACATCTGTATTAAAACAGTATTTTCTGAGGTTGTCATATGTTGTAATTTTTACATTATTTTTCTTGAGAATAATTTTAAAACTTTAGATATCTGCAAAATTTGGACTTATCCATTATTAATCAAGCAATATCACAACAGTCAAGATTTTTTAAAGCTGTTGCAAACCATAACCTTTTAATTATATGAACTAAGAAATCAGTGCTTTCATTTATTGCTTTGTCAACAATTTTTAGACATTCATTGATTAAATCAGTGCTTTCATCTATTGCTTTGTCAACAATTTTTAGACATTCATTGATTAAATAATTCACAAAACTTTTAAAAGTAATTTAAATTTATTAGTTTCAATAATTTCGACAAAACTAAAAGCAACATGTAGAACTTCAGAAGTTTTGTATTTTTGAATTTACAACTTTTTTCTTTACATCTTGTTAACTCTTCTAATGAATGAAGTTATTCAGAGATTTGATTTTTTACTAAGAGAGAACTAGTTTTTCTAACAACGCATTTTCTTATATTCATTCAATTAATTATTACTATGTTATTATTTTGTTTGTTTATATTTATATCAAAACATAGTTTATCATATTTTATTATTAAACAAGATATCTTATTTACCACTTCACTTCTATCCAAGCAAAAAAACTCAAAACCAGACCAGTTTTTGAACTAATGTTATTTAATTTCCTAAAAGCTTTTTTTAACAACAGAAGAGGAATGTAATGATTTGCAATCAATTAATAATTCAGGGACAGCCACTTGATAAACAGGACCATCATCTGATTTCTCAATCTTCATTGTTATAACTACACTAACATCATTTAACTTTATTTCAGGCTATGAAGCACAAACCTTTGGGATAGGATGAATATTTTTTTTCTAATTTACGATTGAGATAAACGCAAACCTAACTTAAAATCTTTAGAGTCTAACCATAAAATCGCTTTCCATTTAGGCTGCCATTTTTTTAACATTAAAAAAAAAAAAATAATAACTTCACGACAAAATGTTGGATTAGTGCAGGTACATCTTTTTTGTATATTGTTATCACGCATAATTATTCCTTCGTATAAAGGTTTTCCATTAGATTTGTTATTATTTTAAAATACAAATGGTTCTTCTCCCAAATCAGAAACAAACTTTCTTTTTGTTGAATGCCCATTAAGTGCTTCTATACTCCACGCATCACAATAAACTTTTTATCAAAGTTTACTATCACTATCCATTTCATGTTTAAATATTGAAATGAGTTTAAATTTAAGAGTTAACAATGTTGTTTTTTTTTGCAGTAATATTTTGTTACTGAAGTTAACATTTTCCTCGGGTACAGGTATATACCTGCGTTATACCTCGTATACGAAGTATAACGCAGAACATAAAAAATAATTTTTTTTAAAAAAGTTAATGCGTGTTTAGATAAAATACATAAATAAATACTTAGAAATATAGTCATAAAAAATATTTTGGTTTTACCAAAAGTTAAGGAGTTAAACTATATAAATATATTCTAACTTTGCATCAAACATAAAACATAAAATATCCTGACGGAATACAAGAACATACCGACGGAATACACAACTTCAATGCTTTATAACTTGAAGTCAAAAATTGAAATTTTTTTTTTCATCCACTTTGCACACATTATTAGTTTAAAATTATAAAACAAAATAAAACAAAAAAATAAAATAAAAAAAGTAAAATTGTAAAGAGTTCTTTTTTTAGTAAGCAGAACCGAAAAAAACTGCAAAAAGTCGGAAATTCACTTTAATTAACTATCGTTGAATACCATAAAACAGATCGCCGTGATTCATTTGATAGAAATGCTGAAATATTTTCACCGCAGGTTCTACAAAATATTTTCTGAAAAAAGAAGATCTTTTTAAAACAATAAAAATTTAAAAACAATAAAAGTTTAAAACAATAACCAATATTGTACTTTTCTTTTAAGTTTTGAAGTAGCAAATCTTGTCTTTGTTTATCTGACTGGTACTTCTTTTATCAATCATATTATAACGTTTAAGCATGTATCCCAATAAACTAAACAAAATTCTATAATGACTTAATAAAATCCCAGCCAACATTGACAGACGGGTACCGTATGGTTTTTGTCTGGGCTTACGGGAACGGGATTTAGACGGGTAAGTCTTTTGGTTTCCAGACGGGTCCCATATGGTAATAAAATCAAGCATATTTGCTCGTTTGGGTTTTATCTGGTTTTTATCAGGACTGAAGAATCTGGGTATTCGACGGGTTTCCCATAAGGTTCCCAATAGGTTTAAACTGATATTAAAAAAACGATAACAAAACTTACTCGATGGCTGCCATTTATGATTCGTATTGTGTGTGAAATAAGGTTAAAAATTTAACTTTTATGCATTAGAATTTTTGTATACATTATATTTACATTGTAATTAAAGATAAATTTTTTTTCGATGTATTTTGTCACTGTGAAACTCCATTAAAAAGACGTTGTTTTAAAATTTCATTTATTTATTACCATTATTAAAGAATTTTAATATATATATATATATATATATATATTTTTAAATAAATTTACAATGTTTAACATATTTTTTAAAACATATGTTCCAGAAACTATAAAACATGTAGTAAATATTCCATTGAGACACTGTTTGCATTTCTAAAATGATCAAAATATAAAGATTTGTTTCTGCTAGTGATTGTAATAAATGGTTTGAGTTTAATCAAAATATTCCCTAGTAGCAAACAATATTGGCGCAATATTGGGGCGATAATGTTTACAATATTGGCGCAATATTGTAAACTATATCGAATCAATGTTGCAATGTGAACATTTTGCCAATATTGGCCAATATTGGCGCTACAATATTGCGCCAATATTGTAAAGTCAATATTGGCGATACAATATTGCAGCAATACTGTAAAGTCAATATTGGCCAATATTGGCAAAATGTTCACACTGCAACATAGTCCCGATATAGTTTATAATATTGCGCCAATATTGAAAATAATATCACGCCAATAATGGGGATATTATACTGGCCAATATTGGCCTAATATAGTTTACAATATTAAGGCTATTGAGTATTTTCGATTAAATTTTTATTATTAAAAAATAATAAAAAATATTGCCTTCTACAAATTTGTAATAATTAAAATTACTAACAGTTTTCTTGTTTAAGTGATACTATAGTACTAGGCTGCATTATTCTTTTGAGTTAAACAGGTTAGAGTCTAGGAGATGACAATAATCATAGAACACGCTTTAAGAAAAAAAAAAATCGAAATCATTAAATTTATTTGAAGTTATATGAAACAGATACAAATGAAAAAAAGAGGTATAGAGTTTTCCAAAACCAAAATTTAACAAAATAAAATCAATGTTATTTAAATACACGTACAAAAAATATGTATATATATATATTATATATATATATATATATATATATATATATATATATATATATATATATATATATATATATATATATATATATATATATATATATATATATATATATATATTATATATATTATATATATATATATATATATATATATATATATATATATATATATATATATATATATATATATATATATATATATATATATATATATATATATATATATATATATATATATATATATATATTATACATTAATAGAAAGCTGACAATTTTTTCTTTAATACTTTTGTCAGTAGCGATTTCGAAATGAATGAATACAACGATAAAAGATTAAATGCAACTCTACAGAATGTTTTTTAAATATCATCACAATATAATTTTGAAATATATAACTTTTCACGTATAAATATTGTAAAGTAATTAGCTTTTATTAAAATATTTATTTATTAAAAGGAAATGGGATGTAGAATACAAATATTGTGCTTTACCTATAACGACCTTGCAGGACGTTTTTGTTTCATTCCATACACTGCGTATGAAAATCATACTTCTTTGACCATTAGCTGTATTAAGATTGCCGCTGTAAGTTGTTTCTCATCTCCTCCAACCGAAGTAAGAAAGTTCATCTAAAATAAAAAAACAAATGTAATATAATTGGTTGTACTAAAAGTTTAATGGTTCCTCTTATGTGTATGTTCTAGACTGTTTTCCATAATGTGATTCTTATTGAAATATGACATTATGAAAGAGTAAAAGCAATTGGTTATAAATAGATTATGACATCTGTAGCGGAGAATACACCCTACAGATGTCATAGATATCTGAGATTAGTAGCCATTGCTACACAAAATACATTGCTAACTGGGCATAAAAGATAAAAATCACAATAAAGTGTAATAAGCATTTATATAAAACATTCTGATATACAACATAATTATAGTCAATCATGTATCATATTGTATCATTTGTTTGTATGTTTCATATAAATGTATCATATATTTTAAAAATTAGATACTTTAATAGTACATGGTAATGTTTCCAAAAACTATTAACTAATATCAATTCACTGATATATACTATTGATTCATAAGGTGTCTTTGTTCCATAATTTTTCTATGTTTGACTATATTTGAGTCAAACATAGCTGTTTAGATAAAAAACAAAGACAATACTGTAAACAAAACAAAAACAATATTGTAAATAAGACAATTACCAAAAAAATCTTATTTTCAGCTGCTTTCAGTTACTTTTAAAAGCACGGCTTTATGTATGGCAGTTTAAAGGCAAGATGCTTGCAAGTGATTTGGCCAATACACCAAACTTTCATTGATACGCCATGAAAAACAGATTACATTCATGGCACACATATTGTTTTTTCATTGAAAAATTCAGCCAGAGCAAATTTTGTAAACTTTATTACCACCTTCAGTTTAACGGTACATCAGCTAAAAAATAATCACAAATAAATTTATGATATAAAAAAACTTCAGATTAACTTTCTTTTTTGAGGTTTTTTTTTTTTTTTTTTTTAATTGAAAATATTAGTCTAAAAATTATTGAGATTCATTTCTTAATGTTTAATGTAATCGCTTTTTATTGCAAGTAGAATTTAATTATTGGTTAGTAAAAAAAAGTGAATTTTAAAAATTGCACGGTTTGGAAAGGTTTCTATGATAATATTTTCTTATTTATATGACATTAAGGAAGATTAACAACTTGAGGCTCTAAGTAAATATTTACCATTTTGCAATTGTACATTTGATGAACCCAAAATGCATCTAGATGTTTTTTTAATGTCGTGACAGATGTTGAACACTATTTCAGATGGTAAACTATTCTACAAATTTGTGAATTTCATATTAGAAAAGTTTTTTCCAGACATCTGTCTTACAAAACATTTTTTTCAATTTATAAGCATGATCGCATGTTGTTAAGTTGGAGTCATAATGGAGCAATAAATACTAACTAAATATATAATCATATATTAATATTAAGAAGTGGCCATATTAACACAAATGCTATTACAACTCAGATTAACTACTTAATGGTCTTTAATTACAATAATAAATATAATGGCTGTGCATATGACATCATTCTGACACAGGTGTTGATAGATAAAATACTGAATGGTATTTTATGAGGAAACAAAAGGGTTGCAACTACAATTATAAAGATTGTGAATGCATTTGTAAGTTTCTGCCATGTCATTACATAAGAAACGATAGCTCATGCTAGTTAAATTTAGTCTAAATAGTCTTTGGTTGTAAGTGAGTCCATTCTGGCCAAAAACAAATTTACTAGACTAGCATAGAACATTTTAAATTAGTTATTGATCTTTTTAAAGTCTAGGATAGTAGACAGAGCTGCAAGAATCAAGGTGAGAACAAACAAGGAAAATAAACAAAGTAAGAAATGTCAAGATATTGAGATTGACAAATGATCTTTTGATCATTCCTACAACTTTACTGGTTATTCTTAGTACTTACAAAATAAAAGTCAAATTACTGTCAATGAAGATCCCTTTATTCTTAGTACTTACAAAATAAAAGTCAAATTACTGTCAATGAAGATCCCTTTATTCTTAGTACTTACAAAATAAAAGTCAAATTACTGTCAATGAAGATACTTTTATTGACAAGAAAGTTTTTAATATTAATTGAAGTATTAAGATTTTTATCAACGAGTATATAAATGAATTTTGTATTTGTTGGTCCTAGGGAAAATTTTATATTTACTGGTCCTAAGGGTATAACTTTACATTTTTTTATATTAAAACTTAGTTTTTATAGTTTTGCCCAGTTTGCTATAATGTCCATACTTTATTGCAAATTATTGCATGGTGAGCTATCAAAAAGCAAATTGTATAACTTAGTATCATCTGTAAATACAGATACAATATCTAAAATCAAATCAGAAAAATCTTTATTATATATTATAAAAGTAAATAATGGGGGACCCCACTATTTACTATTATTCATTCTGAGTATGTACCACCAACAATAATACTCTAATGCCGGTCTCTTAAGTAACATTAAAATCCAATTGTAGAGTTAGTCATTTATTCTATAAGCTTTTAATTTTATAAGTAGGAGTTGTGAAATGTGTTGAAAGACTTCAGTATATCTGATTTAAATTTTCTATATCAGTTTTAATCTCCAAGGCTAATGTCTAACATCAATCCTTACTATTTTCAGCATTACTTATTGTGTGAATTTTACTTTAATTTTGTTTAACTACTCTTAACATAACGTGATGTAGCAGATCTAGTTTAACTTTGTTTATTACCTATAACATTGCATTAAACTATTACATTAAATAAAGTGCTATATAAAATAAAAGACATAAAAAAAACTTTTTAATTGCAAAATTATTAGTTTGTAATAAATTTATGTGCGTGTGTGTGTGTGTGTGTGTGTGTGTGTGAAGGTCAATAATATATATATATATATATATATATATATATATATATATATATATATATATATATATATATATATATATATATATATATATATATATATATATATATATATATACATATATATATATATATATATATATATATTATATATATATATATATATATATATATATATATATATATATATATATATATATATATATATATATATATATATATATATATATATATATATATATATTATTACTATTTTAATCTTGATACTTAAGTATAGCAATATTTTTCCTATTCTTCTCGTGATGCAATATGTTTTAAATTAATTACAACCACTTCTTCTCGTAATTCAATTCGTAATGTTGAATAAAAGAATTTTATTACTCTTACCACTTCTTCTCGTGATACTATCTGTTTCAAATAAATTACCAACACTTCTTCTCCTGATTCACTCAGTAAATGTTGAGTTAAAAATACTTTTTCTACTTCTTCTCTTTTCATAAATTAAAATTTTTATTTTGAACTCTTATTTGTTTTTGTAAAAAAATTAATAACATAAGGATGCCTGTTTATGCAAAAAGATGCTATTATTTACATTTAAACACATTTAACAAAACTAAAGGACATTATGAATATTTCTAAATGTTACGCATGCGTACCATTATGTAAAATTTAGTATAAAGCCAATATTGGCAAACAATATTTCGCCAATATTGACATAACGGTATCAGTTAATCGATAATGGGATAATATTGGCGCAATGATTCGCCAATATTGGCATAACAATATCAGTAAAACGATAATGGATAATATTGGCGCTATACTGTTTGCCAATATTGGTAAGACAATATTAGCGTAATATTGCTCGGCAATATTGGCGTAATATCGGATATCTTGACCTAGATTTGCCAAGATACCCAATATTGTGCCAATATTACGCCAATATTGTTTGCTACTTGGGTTGGTTTAGTCAGAAACATTTAAAAAGAGCAAACAGGCGAATGGAATGTAATGGATATGTTATATTTAGGGAATTAAAAGCTTTTAAATCGTTTTTACAGATCCACTCTTTTCCATTGATTTTTCTATATTTTATGCAAGCAAATTTGCTTGCTATACTGGTATATACCTATACATAGGTATAGAATAGAATATTTTATATATAGGTATATACCTATACTTGTAAATACTAATAAATTAGAAGTGAAAAGATTGTTAAATGGTCATTTAACGTAGCACATAAAAACAGATTTACAAATCAACTGCATCGATGCAAAGTGAGAGATGAGATTTTCCAAAGACAAAAAATGGATGAAAAAGAAAAAAGAAAGTTGGAGCGTGAGCTATCCAAATTGAATTTTAACGAAATTATTAATTCATGCAAGCGCTTTTTCCAATGACCAACTATTTGATTTAGAAGATGTCATGTCAGACTTGTTCGGAAGAAACTAGAACATGAATGGTACAATCCAAAAACATGCAAAAGTGTTTTATATAGCAACAGAGTAGAAAAAGTTAATAAAAGAAATCCATAAAGGACGTCACCATTTTTAGCCTATTTTTGACCCCCCTCCTTTGTCACCATTTGTCCTTTTTCCGTATACTTCCCTGGAAAAGGACTCATAAAATCCTGACCCTCTCCCTATTCTTAACTCCAAAAAATTTATTTTATCTTGCAATGATGTTTGAATCTGCTGCTACACCTTTGAAAAATAAAATTAAAAATATTTTCATACATTATCTTCTCAAAAACACATGTTTACGTAGTTTTCTATGTTAATTAAACTAAAATAAAAAATCTATAAAGTGACGTCCTTTTCTAACAACCTCCCCCCTCCTCTTGTCCTTTTTATTTCGACTCCCTTCCCCCCTATTTGGATGACGTCCTTTATGGATGGCCCTTTATTTACACCATTTTTTACTGGAAAGATGATGAAACTAATATTGAAGCTGTTGACTATTGCATGAAAAAGATCCATCTTGCTGCTGATGTTGTTTGGTGAGTTAAAATTCAATTAATTTAATAACACTGCAAGTGTTGTGACTTGTTAAAAATATGTTGCAAGTGTTGTGACTTGCATAAATAATACAGCAAGAATTGTGACTTGCATAAATAATACAGCAAGTGTTGTGACTTGCATAAATAATACAGCAAGTGTTGTGACTTCCATAAATACAGCAAGTGTTGTGACTTGCATAAATAATACAGCAAGTGTTGTGACTAGCTAAAAATATATAGCAAGTGTTGTGACTTGCATAATTAATACAGCAAGTGTTGTGACTTGTTAAATTTTATGATAGACGGCTCTGGCTTACCTTCAAGTGGTGTCTATGGTTAAAAATGATTAAAATATAGTTTCATTATTGGAATTAATCATTTTAATCATTCACTAAAAGCCAAGACAAAAACTATATTAAATCATCTTTAAAATAATTACAAATTATAATTTTTTTTATGTTAAGATTTTACTTATTATTTATTTTGAAACAGGAAATTTGTTTATTAACCGAAGAAAATGGCTAGCTCGTTAACCATATTGTATGGTTCTGTTGATGTGAGAATCACATCAAAGACAATAATATAGGTATTTGCTAAACTTGGTTATAAAGATCACATTTTTTTTACAGTCAATTGACTTAATTATAGCCCCACAATAGTAGTTGTATAATTTTTTTAGTAATATATAACCAATTAAATAATAATATTAGGTTAGAGGGGGAAGGGGCATTAGAATGCCTCTTTCCCCTTTAAAACATCATCAACATATCTACTATGAGTTTTACATTCATCTTCCATATTTGATGGTTGTCTGATATGAATTTATTTTTTAATTTATTTCCAATTTCATAATTTTATTTTTAAATTTATTATTCAATTTTGAAAACAGTAATTGTATTTATTTTTTTTAGGATGGGTGGGGGAGGGGCATACGCCCCTCCCGTAATAGAAACACTACTTGTATACGTAAGATCTTGTATAACATAATTTTATATTGTATACTAATTTTACACATTTTAGTAAAGATATAAATATAAAACCAAGTCGCTTTTGATACTTGGGTGTATTAAACCACCACCACCACACCCACCTCTTTAGCTAACATACACCTCTCATATATTTTAATGGTTTAGTATAAATTTAAAATAATTTTTTTAAATATTTATATTGCTTATGTCTTTAAAAAAAACTTTTTTTCATACGGGCATGGTGGTGGTTTGGTGTCCCCTCTGTCCATCCGAAACGCCCGGTGGTTAGAGTTTAACATAAAGTTGTATCACACTCTTACACCTATCTTATGACGCTAAGATATTTGTTTTTTGATAAGAATTGACAAAGTTATGACAAATTAAGTGAAGAAAAATGTTATTTTGACCACAGTTTCTTGAACAAATTCATATGTCGAAAAATCGGTACTTAAATCGTCATAACTTTTGAAACAGTTGTTTGATTTTAATAATTTTTTCACCTTTAAAATACTTTAATAATCATCTTTCTAATGATATATAACATTATAGTATTCGAACAATTTGAAATTTTTACTCACCTACTATAAAGTAGGGGTTGCAGCTGATATTTCAGCTTCAGCTATAAACTCATTAGCTTCAGATTAATGCTGAAGCTGATCAAGTCAGTTTAATCAGCTTAATAGCTGATAGTAAAAGAGAAAAATACTTCATAAATATTTTATATATTAACATATAGGAATTTATTCAATGAAAATCTAAAATAGTGACAAAATTTAAACATAGATATAAAAAATTTTAAAAAAAATTTGCCAAAAGTTGTTGCTATTTATAAATGTTGCCATCAGAGCCTAGGCCTAGGACTCACAATATTAGGGGACCCAAATTGGGTTTTTAGAAATTTGTTTAAAAAGTGGTGCCCATATAAAACTATAAAAACTTTATTTTCTTTTAAAAACATATTTTTCTAAAAGTGGATTTTTTTTGCTAAATAAGGATGTTCCTCTAATAATGTAGCCGCATCTAAACATATTAAATTTGGCTAAGATTTAAGATAAGGTTTTTATAGAAAGTTGTAAATTCTCACTGGTTTAATAATCTTTTCTTAGTGAAAATACCCTTTCAACAGCAGCATTAGTGCCTGGACAACATAAAGAAATTTCTATTAAAACTTGTAAATTTTTATGTGGGATATGTTCTACTCTAAAATGCCAAAAGATTTATACCCATCTTTTGTCAAGTTCTATTTTCTGATTGTTCCATTTATTCAACTTTTCTTCATTTAAATATAAATTTACTCTTCGAATTTCTTCAAAGAGAAAACTGTCATTAATAACAATATCTTTTACTTCCTTCATTACAAATTCGACTGCTGAAGAAACTTCTTTCCTTTCAACTTTACTATTTAGGAGGGTCCATTTGAAACAATTCAATGCTCTAAAGTTCACTATCCATTCTTCAATATATTCATAGCAAATTTTATAAAAATTCTTTAACTTCTTTTAAAAATTTTTTCTTCCGGGATTGGAATCTTCCAAAGCGGTCAGTTTAAAGGCTTTAATATAGCCTTTAATATTGTATGTAGTAGGGTATGTATATATTTTTTATTTAAATTTGCCTTTAATTTGCTTTTTTATATTTTTCTGAAAAAATTGTTTTCTGTCACTCTATCCTTCTGAACTTATGTGATTAAATTTTTGTTTCCTCTTACATATTCTCTCACTATCTCATCTGTTCATTCTCTCTTTTTTTTTCATTTTATTTAGCGTTACTCCTTTATATTTTTGTGCTAATTCCAACTTTTTTAATATTATTGTTCCTTATACTTCTTTTTTTATTACATGTATTAATGTAGTTTACTTTCTTTACTATTTCTTTGTTTTAATATTTTTTTATTATATTTGTTTATTTTATTAAGGTGTCGCTCCATTGACTAGTTTTTAATATGAGTGACACTGAACATAAATTTGTAAATTATAATTAAGTTTGTATTTTGTGATTTTATGGTTAACTAACCATAAGCGCATGCGTAGTATGTCCAGCAAGGTTTTTATATCCTTATATTCAATTAAATAAATGGATAAAAAAAACTTTGATGTACTTACTACACATGCGTCAAGACTGTCAAGCATGTCGTACATACTGCACATCAAAGATCAGCCTCGGGGTTACATACACAAATATTGGAGAGATAGATATATCCATCTCTATTCACAAATGTAATTTTGACCTTGTTAGAAAAAGAGGTTTGTAGTATCTATCTATTTCTCCAGGTACATAATACAGCCTCTTAATTGTGCTGGCAAAGGCAGCCATATGTGCGTGCAAAGTTTAAATCACTGTCAAACTTGTGTCTGGTGTTTGCCCTGTCCTCTGAAGTGCCGGAAGCAATATGCATGCGTGAAATTCAAATCACTGTCTAAATAATTTTAAATATTTAATTAATAAAATTGAAATGAAATTATATAAAAAAATGTTTTAGAAATACAAATGAGTAAAAAATTATACTTTCAGAAAAAAATTATACTTTTAGAATACAGGATATGAAAAGAGTACGGTTTGTGAAAAAAGAGTACAAAATTCAGTAATTGAGAATAGTTGGTCACCTTAATTATCTACATAATTTTTTGGTAGATTTCAAAGTTCTTGCAA